GATAAAATAATTATATTCAAAATTAAAAAGCAGTATGCTAGGTTTCTACCCCATGCTTTAGATGTGCTGTGAGCATCAAGATTTCATCGTTAGATCTTTAAGGCTTTGTTTAAATGTTAATTCTGTTCTCCTCCTCAGCCTCCCAGACAAAATTGACGATTTGTCCCTACTCTTTTTTTCATGTTTGTTTTGCTTTCACATTGTATGTGGCTTCAATTGCTTTCTAATAGTTACCTTATTCTTCAAAATATGGCAGTTTTTCTCTACATATCTGTCTCTTGACTTGGTAAAGAGCAGATATAAGATATGTATAATGTTTGTGGTACATTTGTCAAGTGAATAAATGAAGCTATATGTTGCTTGGTTGTTGGGACCATGGGTCTTTGCCCATAATAGGTGATCCATAAATGTATGCTGAGTGAAGTAGACATGGGGCTGAATTCTCAGGGCAGGATGCTTGGCTGTTTTTCAGTATAGGCTCTTGGGGATTAGAAGTCAGGTGTGGCTCTGCCCACATGGGAGAAATGAATATGACAAGCCTATATGCTACTTAACGTTGGTCCACATATCATTCCTGGCTTAAGTTGCCACTTTATGACATAAGAGGAGGCAGATGTTGAAAAGAGTTCTTACCAGTGCTACAAGTCACCTGGGGCACATCTAGGTATGTCTTGCCTTTCAGGGAAGGGAGGATTTGGGCAATGGACATGGGGTTTTTGAATTTCCCCTGCTCAGTCTCATACAGTATTGTATCCATAGTCTTCTGACAGTCCCACTCCTTATCAGGTTGCTCAGGTGTCACAGAGAGAGCCTGGGACAGGGAGAGAGAGAGAGAGAGAGAGAGAGAGAGAGAGAAAGAGAGAGAATTCAGCATAGCTGACAGTTGGCCCTTATATACCTTGTAAGGGATAGATTTGATCACTAATCCTTGTGATCACTCAGAAGCCAGAACTGAAGCTGCACAAGGTTTGGAACTATGTTTGTCTTCTTCAATGCTATGTTCCCACCGTTTAGCACAGTGTCTGTCACATAGTAGTCACAAGACAAATACTTGTGCAGTGATCAGATTCAGGGAACACTATTGGGGCTACCATATTTACTAACAATTCTTGGACATACAGTGAGGGTGAAAGCTGAGCAAAGCAAGCTCCAGAGTTAGCTTTAGTCTGGGACAGGGGGGCCACATAGATGGAGCAGCCTCTTTTGTTTTGCCTTGTCATGAATACCCTTTGGTGGCCTTCTCCCGCACTCTGTGATGTGTCAGGACTGTCAGCCAGTCAGAGGCTTCACAACCCTGGCCATAGGGGAAGACTCATGGCCTGGGCTGGGCTAATCACAGTGTGACAGTAATGGGTAGACACATGCACTAATCAGAGTCCTTCCCTGACATGAAGACATTAGGAAAGAGAAATATTTTTTCCCTGCTGGGATTATTCAACTGGGAGCATATGAGTAAACACTGAGCTGCTAGAGATCGTCTTCTTCAGCCAGTCTGAAGAAGCCATGCAGCAGAAGAGAGTGAGGAAAACCAGAGCTGGGAGGCAAAAAAAAAAAAAGTCCCTTACGTTATGATTTGAGTCCTTTATTCTGGTTATTCCTGAAACCACCTAATCTAGCCCTGGACTTCCCAGTGTATGAGAAATAGTAAGCCCCCATTTTTTTACTTAAGTAAAATGATTTAAGTTTCTGTTACTTGAAAAATGAATCTTGATTAATACACCAAGCAATTCACTTAAGTTTGCAGAATTTTATATCTCATGGGTAAAATAGAAATCATAATTCCTGCCTACCTTTGATGGTGGGGTCATTTGAGGTTCCTATGGGCTAATATGTGAAAGCATTTTGTAATGTGTGATGTGGAAGCTATTCTTACTACCTCCCTCCCTTTAGAATCGTGCTGACTACGGCCAGCAGAGCATGTTGATGGGCTGGGATTACTGACAACTGATTCACCGGAAGCTTGGGATGGGAAATGAGAGAAGAGAGAGAAGTTTCAGAAATGAATCTCTCAGCTTAGAGGCAGTAGTATGAGCAACCAAACAGTTAGGACAAGCATGACCATCACTCAATAGAGGCCACTTCACATGGTAGTGTAAAAGGGGCCATCGGGGAGGTCCTCCTCAGACACAATCTCTTGTCCACTTGCCATATTAACCTCCTAAATTCCACTAACCAAGATGTATCCCCTTAGGATAAAACATTACCAATACCACTACTCTAGAGAGGAGTGACACATTAAGCTGTTAGAAGTCATTAATAACCTTGCATGAAGAAGTTTATCAGATCCCTTTTCAAGGTAAGTTCCTGTCAGAGGAACCCTGAAGCAGTAGAATATTGACGGGGAAAAAAAAGAGAAGAAGTTCTAGAACAGAGGCAAAGTCTCATAAGTGCCTTTGGGAAGGGATGCAGGTGACCCAGGCCACGTGAAGGGCACTGACATGCTGGATGAGGGCAAGCAAAGGCTGAAAAGGAGCTTTAATAGTACTGCTATTCTGCTGGGATGGACCATGAACAATTATTAAGTATGATATTGTGGCTTGTAATTTCTTTATACTACATTTCATTTAACCTAGTTGCAACCTCGTTATTGTGGGGAAAATGAAATTTAGAGAAATTCAGTATTTTTCTGAGATGGTGGTAGATCTGGGATTCAAACCTGAGTTGTGATAGCTCCAGAGCCCTTTGCTTTTCTACACCAGAATATTTTAGATTGGAAAAGGTTACATATTAGATGCCTGGTAATTTCGGATTCCAGGCCGCCTGGGTAAACTCTAGATATGGGCAGTAGGGAGAGCTTATGTATCCAAACTGACAAAAAATCCACGTGGCCTGTGGTATCTGGCTGTGGTGGTAGCAAAAGTTTTAATTCCCAGGTACAGCTTATCAGAGTGTACCTAGCAGGTGATAGAAACCCAAACAGAATTCACAAACGAAATTTACAAAAGTAAACCCTTCTCTGTCCAGCACTAAGTTGAACCAAGTGAGTCACAACTGCACCGCCTCCCCCAAAAAAACCTACCCCCAAACCCCCACCCTTCCAGAGTGCTTTTTTGCTTCCACAATACTTCTAGACCCAAGCCCTGGGAATGCTCGAGTATGATTCAGCTATGGAAAAAACAGGGCTTTGTTCCATGTTAAAATCTCATTGACCATGACATAGAAACCCACGTTGTTCTTATTAGTCACTTCAGTCCATGGTTCTTTGGAGTGGGAATTTTGTTTTTACTGTTATGTTTAACAAGAGCTAATTCCTAGGCTGTTTATGCCCTCTCCTAATTTTTAATGTGTAGAATACCAATACCGGTCTCTATTTTCTCCCCCAGGAGACAATTTCTTTCCAAGAGTAGTCCCGAGCTACATTAGCTTTAGGAATGGCATTATAACCTCTCCCTTTCCCAGGCTTTCTGAGTTGGGGAGTGCATGGTGCAGTTTTTCTATCAATCCCATAGGATATTTTGAGATGTTAGAGTACAAACTTCTTCGTTTGGGTTAGAGGATTTGGCCACAGGTGGCTTTTTGATTTCTGATTCTAGTTGGCTCTCTCTCCCTACTATCGTTGGTACATCTGCAGTCCACGGAGGATGCTGCCCTAGTCACCTGGGGTGGGGTGAGGGTGCTGGATTTGGAACTTTCAAGTAGCATCTTACAGAATCCAAGCCTGGGGATATAATAAGAAAACATGGGATTGAGTATGGACTTGGCTACCAGACAAACCTGTCTGTGCCATTTACTATGGGTTTTTATGAGGTTGAGTCAACTTTAGATTATTTTTCATTAATCATTTTTCATACAAACCCACCTTTTTTGGATCAAGATAAAGGGCCGAAAAAAGAACACCTCGCTGGCAAGATTAAATCAGAAAATTCAATATTTTTTGAGCACCTGCGATCAAGATAAAGGGCTGAAAAAAGAACACCTCGCTGGCAAGATTAAATCAGAAAATTCAATATTTTTTGAGCACCTGCTTTAATATCTTTGTTATTTATACATCAAACATTCAATAGTCTACAACTATTATTAACAAACTGATCATTATTAATAATAAACCAATACATTTCTTGGATTTGTTTATTTCATCTTTATCCCAAGGAAGGGAACCAGGTTTATACAGGTGTGTTTTCACACTTTACCTGTGAGGTAGGAAGGAATTAACACTGACCTGCATTTTATCAGTAGAGAAACTGAGACACAGGTGTCACAAGGAATCTACTTCAAGTCACACTAGCTGGACTTTCCCACAGATGTTAGCAGAAGCTGGTCTCTTGATCCTACAGTCAATCCATGTTTACCGGCATGGACCCAGCACAGAGCACACAGGATGTGTTTACCTGCATGGCAAGGCCAGTACTGTAGATGTCTCCAATGATGCCGTTGTCTTTGATCCTCGTGCTGATATTCTCCACAATATCCTTTAGTACCTGACCAAACAGAGCTCTGTAACTTTCCCCTGAACCTACAGAGATCTTGTTGTACATACAGGTCAGAGCCAAGGTCGCCACTGCTCCTGTGTCTGTGAATCACAGGGGGGATAAGACGACAATAATCACCGCCACAAGAATATAACAGCTAACGTTTCTTGTGTGCTTATTGCGTTCTAGCCATATGATCTCCTTTACTCCTCAGGACAACCAATGGAATAGGACCTGCAATTATCTCAATTTAGAGATGAGAAAATGGAGGCTCAGAGAAGTTAAATTACTGCCCAAGACCACACAGCCAGTGAGGAGCAGCACCAGGACCTGAACCCAGCTCTGTACAACTCAACAGCTTGTGCATTTAATTCACGTAGACTGACAGTTTGTTCAGTCCTGCTTCTCCTGTCACAGCGTTTATCTTTCAAAACATCACCAGTTCTTCCAGGCCTAGCCTGATATCACCACCTTTCAGTGAAGCCTTCTCAGTCATCCCAGCACAAGAGAAGCAGTCTCTTTTCTGAACCCCTTTAGCATCTGTTGTTTACACTTATTTTGCAATCTCAGTACTCTCTTTGTTGTTATGCTTGGATGGTGGGAACTTTGCATCCCCTGTAGCACCCAGCATGTGGACTTTTTCATTATTTGCATGTGATAAAACATGAAGCATTGAGAAGAATGGAGTGTGGAAGCATCGGTAGCGATTAAAAAGAGGGTGCAGAGTAGGGCTGAGGCAAGATATTGCTGTTTCATTTGGGAGCAACTTCTGACTTGAGTGACATAGTTTATTGTTCCCCGTGGAGGTTCTGTGGCTGCCAGACATTTCAAGTGCTGTCCTTGTCTCTATATGTTGCTATCTCCCCTTCCTTCATTTATTACTTAATTCTCATGTCCATCAAGCATTTGTTAAGTATCTCTCATCTACAGATGCATTCATGGTTCTCACTCCTCCCTGTGTAAAGTTTTCTCTCCCCCTGCCCCCTCCAGCTCCACCATTCAGCGCGCTGTGCCTCTGATGTTCCTAGCTCTGGGCCGCGTTTGACAGTGGCGACCTACTCACCCACGTTGAAGGGAGACGAATTGGCCAGCAGGGTCTTGGCAAAGCGGACTGCTGTTGTTAAGGTGGCCTCGGGGTTCTTCTGGCACAGGGCCAAGATTGCCAGACTGGGCCCATAGAAGGCTGTTGCTTCAGCATTGGAGCCTCAGAAAGGGATAGAGAACCTTCATTAGACCAACATTCACCATGATGAGGACGTTTGTGAAGAAGCAAAAGCCAAACCTTTTAAATAGAAATTGCTAGAAAACCTGTCCCTAAAGAAAGTCACAGTATTGGCAAAGGATAAATTCAGTGTTCCTCAGAATATAAGAATATCATCTAGCTTTTGAGTAGAATAAAATAGAATAAAAGGGATGATGCTATCTCCAGACAGGTGATGGCCTGACAAGTCTGTGTCCTTCGGGTGGTGGCCTTGGATTAGAAGTGAATCTCTCACTTGTGGGATTATCAGAGGGACCAGAGTGGAGGCTACATTGTGTCTCTTCCCTAACTTTCCACTTTCCCCACCCCCACCCTTTTCCTTTATGGGTTTAAAATTCTCAGGATGGACCATGTGCCTCATTCTCCCCTCCCTTCCAGTGAGGTCTTACTTGAAGGTGCCCAATTCTCCATTTGGCTTTGCAGACTCGACACTTCATTCTCAGGGTCTTGGCAGGAGGAGGTGAGGGCCATAATGGTGAGGGCGAGCTGGCCGATGGTGAGGTCTGCAGAGGAGAGAACAGAACAGTTCAACAAGGACGTTCTCAGGGGAGGGATCCCAGAGGCCAGGGCTGAGCTCTCAGCTTCTTATCTAGATCATTTTGATTTTTTTTTTTTTATAACATGACTAGTTTTTTGATCTGTCTTTCCGAAGATAGAAATATGGAAAAATACTAAAGAGAATATTTAATTTAGTGGACTCTGTGTGACTTGGTGACTCCATCCGGAATCTCTGGTATCTGACCAGAAAAGCAGTGAGAATACCCTTACAAATTTATGCATGAAAATTTACAATTACAAGATGATTTAAATTTTTTTATCTAGCCTCAAGGCACCTCCTGGTAGGTAGGCAGAACAGATTTTCTTATTATTGCTACAGTTGTTTTTATTAGTAGTGTTAGTGTTATTGTTACTAGAATTGTCTGTATTTTGCAAATGAGGAAAATGAGGTTGAGCAGGATTCAGTGACTTGTTCAAGGTCAGAGAGGCAAGAAGCAGCAGGGCCAGAGCTGTGAGCCTGCTTTTTTTGCATCTAGTCTAGTGCTCTTTCTGCTTTACTGCCATCCTCCATGAATGCTCTGACTTCATCCATATTTCTTCCCAGGTATTTTAGAAGTGTGTAGGGAAAGGTGTTAAAGATGATTAAGGTACAGTCAGAGGCAGCATTGGTGGGCGACATGAAATTGGGATACAGGGGTGGCCAGTGGCCTGATTCAGGGAGGGGCCTCACCAGCAGCGTCGCTGGCCGTGAGCTTGTGAGTCAAGAGCTCCTGGGCCTCCACGTTGTAGGCGCCGGCCAGGTTCATGGCAATCAGGATGCTGGGGTTTGGGTAGGATGATGCGGTCACCGAGTTCTCCATGAGCACTTGTATGCCATCCACCAAGGGCTGCTGTGCTGAGGGAACAGCTGGGAAGACAAAAGTACTCACTAAACCCCTAACATTTGTCCCCTCTCCTTAGAAACACAATTCCTGTGTCTTTTATGCCTTTTAGGAGAAGACTCGATTAGCATTGATATCCTAAGTGATTGAAGAGAAAAGGAGAAAATATTGGGAATTTTCTTTTGAGGCCAATTAGTTTCTACATCGTCTCAAATAACCCATATCTTTAAGAAAGTGATTTTTCATTTAGTAACTTCAAGCCATATGGCTCACAGACATTTCACATGAAATCACTGATTTCTTTGCCTCCATTTTTTTCTCACTCTTCCACAAAGAATATTAAAGATTTGGGATATGACCTGTTCTCAGCAAGTACCAGAACCTCCTGCTAGTAGCAGTGCCTGGTCACAACGGCCACTGAGTGTCTCCGTACCATCAACCATCATTCTTGCAATAGTACTTCAATCTCTCTTAATAAAAAAATGCTTAGCCTTGACTTTCAAAGAACTTATGCTATGAAGTCAGGAAAGATGAACAATATACACTCACACCCCTACTTACCTATTTTGGACCTCCTACAGTGATTGTTATTTTCAACCACTTTCTCATCAGCAGAGCTCAGTGTCTGAGGTCTCTGCCTCTCCCCTGGGTAATTGCTTCCCTGACCTCCTTGGAAAAAAACACCATACTCACAGCATGAGCTTCGGGTCTGGGTACTGGTCCCAGCTGTGGCCCAGAGAAGACTGAGTAGGTAGAAGGCAAACCAGGCCATCTCATGCCCTCCTGTCCTGTCCACGTCTCATACACAGATATGAGTATTTGCAGGTGGAGTATTTCTCTTCCTTCTTTTATATGTGCTTCTCTTTGCAAAACAGTCTGTCTGCCCTGACGTAGTCACTCCTAACCTGAGGTCCTACGCTGGCTTCTCCTTCTCTGATATAACTAATTTCCATGTGCTTATCTAAGTTTACCTACTACAGACCGTCCAAGGTGCTTGCAGGTGACTTCTAGGCAGCACAGTCATATGAGAAACTTAGGGCTAGATATGCAGTGGAGGCAATAACAAGAAAGTGTCCTTTATCAAAATCCTGGGTCACTACATGGGAAGTTTGGCTAATGTGTGAGTATAAACAAGACTTCTCCTAGGCCTTGTTATACCCAGTCAGTCCTCCTGGCTGTTTATCAGCAACCACTTCACTGAGGTTAGGGTGATTTGGAGGCATAAGCTCATTTTATGGTCTGAGGCACCTTCTTTATGCCCTTTTAGACTCTCAAGTGGTGATCTGCCAGGTAAAGTCTGGGTTTATGAAATTAAGCTGACATGGACATGGGTTCTAGCCTAGACTCTTTGCAGTTGAGGCAAGAAGTGGACCTCAGTTTTCCAGAAATTTTGTTTGATTTCTTTTTCCTTATCTGGGGATAAAAGCATTTGAAACGCCCCAAAGGCTTGCGGATATTATTTTTTAAAATAAGTAATTAGAAAATGTGAGATCAATTGACTATATTAAGTAAATTTTTTTTTCCAGAAATGTAGTTGTATTATAAAGCAAAGTACAGTATACCTCCCTATAACAGAGAACTGGAAATAGCATTCTGAAATTCTGAAGAAGGAGGCTTAGTTTTTAGTTTTGCATTTTAAGGATCTCCTTTTAGGGGAAAATTCTCCAGGGGCCATTTTAGAATAAAAAGTCAAAGTCCTTTTAATGACCTACAAGGCCTTATGAGATCTGTCTTCTGGTTTTCTTTCTGACCACTTTTCTCCAACCACATTCTCCTTTGCTCGCTCTGCTGCAGCCACACAGAACTTACGTTCCTCGAACACATCAGCCACCTTTATACACTTGATGTTCCCTCTGCCCAGAACACTCTTCTTCCAAATATCACTATGGTGGCTCCCTCACTTCCTTCATGTCTCCCCTTAAAAGAAAGTTTTTAGAGAGGCCTTCCCAGACCATGCCGTTTAAGGTGGCCTCGCCCCCACCGACACCCACCATGCCCCTTATCTGCATGACTCTTTGCCCTGTGTCACTCTATGTGTGTAGTTGATTGTTTCTCTCTTCCTACTAGAACTTCCTCTCCAAGGGGACAGGGGCTTTGTCTGTTTTGCTTACTGCTCTATGCCCAGCACTTTCAGCACTGCCTAGATCGCAGTAGGAATCAAAAACATATTTTTTAAATGAGTGAATTAATGAGCAAATTTAAGACATGGGCTATAAGGAACTTTTTTCTTCCTCAGAAAACATTGGTTCATGTTGGGGTGTGCCAGACAGCTTCTAACATGGCCCCACATTCCCACCTCCCGGTATTCATGCTCTTGGGTAGTGCCCTTTTCCAGAGTGTGGGCCAGCCTCACTTCTAATTAATATAATGTAGCAGAAGTGATGGGATGAGGTTACGAAAGACTATTTGCCTCTTGCTTTCACTCTTTCTCTGGCTCTTCTTGCTTCTTGCTCTCATGAAGCCAGATGTCAAGTTGTGAGAAGCCCATGTGGTGAAGAACACAGCAGCCTCCAGCCAACACCCAGGGAGGGAGGAATTCTGCCAACAACTGTGTGAGAGAGGTTGAAAGCAGGTCCTTCCCCAGTTGAGCTTTGAGATGAAGGCTGCCCTGGCTGACATCTTGATTGCAAGACTGATTATGGCATAATTGTTGCAGTTAGCAAATACCTCCCAGAATAGGAACCACACAGGCCAAACATTTCTTAACTAATACATTTGACAGACCTTGGTTAACCATTGCTGGGCTTATTTATTTGTTTGTTTTTTCTGTGGCTAATTTTCTGGTGTCAAAGCACCCGGACTCTGGACACTTGTGAAGTTTATTTGTAGTGATTATTTTTTGCTGTGGTAGCAGATGTACGTTTCTCTTCTCAGATTCAGTCTAGGTTCTGTAATAGTGTCAAGATTAAGGAACTTTTCATAAGGCAGATGTGGCCAGAGCTAGGTTTCCTGGCCAATGTTGGTGCAATGCTCAGGGAATGTTATTTCATTAAGCCTCATGTCTGTGTTTGAAATTAAAGGCATTTCTATCAGACAGCAATGTTATGACATCCTGCTTTGACATTTCTCTTCTCAGATTCAGTCTAGGTTCTGTAATAGTGTCAAGACTCAGGAACTTTTCATAAGGCAGATGTGGCCAGAGCTAGGTTTCCTGGCCAATGTTGGTGCAATGATCAGGGAATGTTATTTCATTAAGCCACATGTCTGTGTTTGAAATTAAAGGCATTTCTATCAGACAGCAATGTTATGACATCCTGCTTTGGGACCACTGGGTGGGAGAAACTCGGCTCTGTTAAAAATGGAGGCTAGTAGTGCTGGAGAGGGGTGTTAGAAAACACAGGGGCACAAAGTGAGCGTTGATGTTTGATCCAATCAGAGGAATTAAATGAAAACTGCAAGGGAAACCACTGTTTATTAAAGAATTTTATCTTTATTTTTATTTTTTTTATTTTTTATATTTTTTTAAATTTTTTATTTATTTTTATTTTTTTTTAAATTTTATTTTGTCAATATACAATGTGGTTGATTATTGTGGCCCAT